AATTATTGTGAATAGATTGCATGCTCCACAATATAATTGCTAGTATTATTCTAATCAGAATAAGAGAATTGAAAGTGGTCTCTGATATGAAACAACTTCTATTCTATCTACATGGAAAAGGTCTAAATGATTTAAGGGAAGAATTTCTGAAGTACCTACTAGAAGAAGCACAGCATATTTGTTAAGAACACCTACTCTAGGGCTGGCGGGTGGCATGGTGGTTATGGGCACTGGATTCCCAGATGGCCGACGGCAGTTTGAGTCCTAGACCTGGTAGCTTGCTTTCTCACTTTCCCTTTCTCTCTGTCTCTGTCTCTCTCTGGTAAAAATTTTTAAAATAATAATAACAAATGTAATTAAATAAATAAATATTTTTGAGAGGTTTTTGCTATAGGGCGTGTGTGCTCGCCAGAAAGACAGAAAGTGAGAAATCACCCCCCAGGGGGAATGGCCACACAGCAATCAGTTCTCCTCCATTCTCCTCTTGGAATCATGGGCACGCGTGCACATGCACCTGGCGTGAGTTTAAGCCACCGGGTTCGGGACCCAAACCATGGTCGACTACATGGGAGTCCAGCGACATAATCATTACGCTAACTGCTGGTCCCTTAAAAAATGAAATAATTCAAATATTGACTTTGTCACTAGCTGTGTGACCTTGGGTTAACACGATCTTGTGACATTAGCCTGTTTCATAAGGGGTAAAATAGGATAATGCCAACTCATAAGGCTGTTATGAAGATGGAATAATAACTTAATAAATATAAAGTGCTTAGAATGATGTCAGGTACATGATCATACATAAGCATGGCATATAATGACACTTGAAAGTGTTAGGTGAATACATGTAGGACCTAATACAAAGCAACAAATACATAAACAGGTTCCAATTCAATGGTTCAGATAAAAGATATTCTAGATGTTAAAGAATAGCTTTCAAAAGAAGTAAAATCATAAATCTCATACAAATGCAAAATGACCTATGCCAAAGATTTTATTTAAGTCATTTATTAATATGGGAACCAATAAGATGTTATCATTACTTCAAAAAAGAATCCAAAGAACAGAGAAATGTATGAGCATTCAGTGTTGAAAGGAATTTGCTAATAGAAGTAAAGTTAGCCTCTTCCACTGGGCAGAAATTAGTTTCATTTCCACCAGACAAAATCTTGTGCATTTCTCCATGAATAAAGATTATTTACTGCCAGAAATCTTCTATTGAACTGGAAAATTATTCAAAGGAAAGTCTGGATCACCTCAGTGTGAGGCTACCAGAAAGATCCCCTAGATACAATCCATAGATATAATTGTTTTGCCCATTTCAGAGTGTTGGCCATTTTTTTTTTAATTTAAGAAGCATGCAAAAAATTGTTAAAATGGTACTAAAGGAATCCATAAGAATCTCAGCCTCAACTCTCAACAGTTCTATGAAATCATCACTTAACCTTTATTAGCGTAAGTGATCTTTTCTGTGAAATGAGGGTAACAGGTTATCTAGTTGGTAAGAGCTCTTATAAAAATAAAATGATATGTGACTAAAGTTCCTGATAATGGTGTGTTACTCATGGTAGACATTCAACAAGCAGTAACTATTACTTTATTAATTATAATTAGCTGAACTGGCCAAATAATAATTGCTCAGTTTTGCTTCTGCCACCTCTAGTCAACCTATCTAGAAATTATATCCAGCATTAGGTAAAGCCCAGGGAAGAAACGAACATGGCTCCCACAGGAACAACCAAAAATGTCAGCCTGATTGGAGGAAGATTCTTGGCAGGGAATTAACTTAGGGAACTTAACATGCAGTCTCTGGAGGGGTTGGGATCCAGACAGAGGAGTTTTGGTGCCCTATAATAAGCACCCAATTTAGAATCATCTAGAATGATTCTAAGTTACCCAGCTACTATGCGAGAACAGTGAACTAGATACAAGCTATATATCTTTTTTTTTATTTTCTAACATTTAAAGTTTTTTCCTAGTTTTACTGTTATATGATTGACAAAAGTTGTACAAACAGGGGTTGGTCTTTACTGGTTAAGGGAGCCAGATCCACATAGCCAATGGAGGTGTAAATCGCGACAATTTAGAATATACCAGACATGTGTTAGTGCATGCCTCAAATCCTGACAGGATGGAGAAATGGAGGAGAAAGGATTGCACCGTGACCATGCCCCATGGTGGTGTGGGGGTGCTTTCTCCCTCTATCTCTGGTGAGGACATGTGCCCTCTGGCAAGAAAGAAAATGATCCTTAGATACCTAACAATATACAGCATTTCCCTACCCGTGGAGTTAAGCCTTTTTTTCAGTAAAGTCCTTGGGTTCAATTCCCAATTAAACTTCAATCCTTTCAGAGGGTAATTAAGATACCTGGCTAATATATGAATTATTTTCTTAAAATTAGAATGAGTCCTAAATCCCAGACTTGATGGTCCCTCTAGAAGACTTCTAAGAATTAGATGTGCCTGAAACCTAAATTGTTTATGCCAACTTACTGTCTTGGTTGGAATAAAATCACAAAAAGATTTATGAAAAGACCTTTCAGGCTTTTATAAGCTATACGTACTTCTACCAAAATAAAAATATTTTTGATAAAAGGTTTTGGTTGCAACTGTTTTCATTTTTTACTAAATCTCACTTTTAGCAAAAATGTAAAACTGTATTACAGTCATTTAATATGCATAACTGAAAGGTTTCATTCAGTCACTGTGTAAACAAAAGGGTAGGCATATTTCCTGAGGAGATAAATTCTCTTGATATTTTTTTAAAATAATTGCTTATTTAATTGTATTCATTATCATTATTTTAATTTGATCAGAGGGAGACACAGAGAGAGAGAGAGAAAATGAGAAAGCAAGCTACAGGGCCCAAGACTCAAACTGCAGTTGGCCATGTGGGAGTCCAGTGCCTCAACCACCATGCCAGCTGCTGGCCCCTCTTTGACACTTTTCTAAACTCAAGACTGTACTCTACTCACACAAGGATTAGGTTTATGTATATTTATATTGTCTGATATTTGGTAGTACATATTTCAATACTGTAAATTATAAGGAATGTTAGGGAACAGCAGAAATGCCATGCTTCTAAAACACCTTGGATTTATGAACTCTGAATATAAGGAAAAGGGCGAACAATAACCAATGTTATTATGCCTTCCTGCTCGAAAACGATTGAAGGCCATTAGATGGATGTGTAATTTGATAAACATGTTAAATGTGTTCTCCAAACTCCAAGGTATTCTCTCCAGCCTCTGGCATCATTTAGCCATACGCCCCCTTATCGATACTGAAACCAGCCTGTCAGGAACTTCCCTTATCTTACTAATTCTCTAAGAAGCAACTTTCTCTAAAAATAACTTTTGTTCCTCCTTTGCCCTAATAAATACAGAGGAGGAGAGAGGCTTAGAAGACAGATACCTGATATGGCCTCTCCCTCTACCTCTCCCTCTTAACTCAAATCTGTGTCTTGAGTAGTTTTCCCATGTGCACTTCAGGTGACTCTCTACTGAACAGAAGAGTCGCAAAGGAATGCTGGTTATAGAACACATTGTGCAAGGAACTTACTATATTTTATTATATATGGGATCTAAATGAGTACCTTCTTTGCATTTTCTAAACTTAAATTTACAGCTATATTGTTATGAAATTATATTATTTAAAATAAGTTTATATTTTTATTCTTCTCCTTAGCATTCTATGGCATTTGTGTGAGTTAATTTAATGAATTAATTAAGGTGCTTATAGACATATTTTATGGATTTTAATATAAAGATATTCAAAGTAGCATCAAATGTATTTTCTACCATACACTTGAGTTTTGGGATTGCATTATACATGCAAAGAAAAGATAAATACATTTATTCTTTCATTTGACAAATACTTATTGAACATCTACTATGTCCTATTCATTATTCTCAGTGTCAAGAACAAAGTAAGATCAAAGCAGGATTATGATCATAAAGAATTTATACTTGGGACCAGCAGTTAATGCAATGGCTATGTCACAGGACTCTCGTGTATTCGACCGTGGTTCAAGTCCTGGACCCAGCGGCTTAAACTCATGCCAGGCACGTGTGCATATGTGCCCAAGATCCCAAGAGGATAATGGAAAAGAAGGGGTCGCGGCATGGCCACCCCCCCAGGGTGGGGTGATTTCTCACTTTCTGTCTCTCTGTCTCTCTCTGGCCAGAAAGACAGAGAGAGACAGAGAGACGGAAAACGAGAAAAGAAAAAAAAAACTCTCAAAAAAAACCTTATACTTTATGTATCTTGTAATATAGTGATAATAATAGTAGTGTTTTATCCTCAAATAATAATTTCAATCCAAGTCCTCATAATAATAAATTAATAATGGGAACCAGCAGTTAGCGTAATGGCTATGTCGCTGGATTCCCACGTAGTCGACCGCGGTTCGTGTCCCGGACCCGGTGGCTTAAAACTCACGCCTGGTGCATGTGCGTGCATGCCCAAGATCCCGAGAGGAGAATGGAGGAGAAGGGATTGCGGTGTGACCATCCCCCCTCGGGGGTGATTTCTTGCTTTCTGTCTCTATGTCTCTGTCTGTCTGGCGAGCGCACGCGCCCTACAGTGAAAATCTCTCCCCCCCCCCAAAAAAAAAAGAAAAAAAAAGATAAATAAATAATAAATTAATAAAATCTAGACTATTTCTGTTGTAGAACTGAGCTTACAAATTCTATTTTAATTGATTCCTGCTAGTTTTCAACAATAAAGAAACCTATGCTTTCGAATTTGAGATTTTACTTTCTTTGAGTCCTATCACCAGCAGCCCCTCTTTACTTGATGCCATTGATTGATTTGACTCATGGGGAAAGGACTGTGCTGTATGAATTGAAGAGAAATGTTTGACCCTTATTGTTTTAATTGCTAATACTTTATAATTGATGTCTTTATCAATGTAAGGTATTAAGAATTTACTATTTTCTTAATTCTGTATCCTTTACTGAGAGGTCTTTTTCTTTCATTCATTGTGCACATGTTTCCAGGTTTTAGGGAAAAAGCCAGAGCTTCCTGATGGAGATGATGATGATGATACCATAGCAGACATAAGTAACAGGAAAATGGCTAAACTCTACATGGTGAGTTCACTGTTTTCATGTCCTTTTGTTTCTTTCTTTTTTCTTAAGAATTATTTTATTTAACTTTATTTATTTACTTATTTTAACTTAACCAGAGAGGAACAGAGTGAGAGAGCGAGAATGAGAAAACAAGCCACCAAGTCTGGGACTCAAACTATAGTCAGCTATGTGGGAGTCCAGAGCCCTTAACCACCACATCACCTGCCAGCCCCCATGTCCTATTGTTTCTACTAGACTGGAAAGAGCTGAGAAGGGCTGTATCAGAAGGGATATTCTTTGTTGGGGACCAGCTGGTTGCGTGGTGATTAAGGTGCTGGACACTCCCACATGGCCAACCACGGTTCGAGTCCCGGACCTGGTGGCTTCCTTTGTCCCTTTCTCTCTCTCTCTCTCTCTCTCTCTCTCTCTGTGTGTGTGTGTGTGTGTCTCTTTCTGACTGAATAAATAAATAATAATAATTTTTAAAAAAGGAATATTCTTTGTTATGGTTGAAAACTATCATTGTTTTTAGTGAGAAATGAAATGTATAGGTAGAATTAGTTCTTTGCCCCAACATATTTGTTAAAATTATTCTTTTGATTATTTTTTGTTATTCTTATTAAAAACAACAAATAAGTGAAGTTATTGCTGTGATTTACCTAAAATTATATATTGTTGCTACTCTAGTTTATAATAATCTATTTTGATCTATTATACCCAATAAAATTTTTTCCTTTATGGAGTAAAAAATTTAAGTTTTCCATTAATTCCTGATATTGAGAGAAAATCTTCACCGTATTTAAAACACCCTTTTTAGCTATAATACAAGCTTTTTTTTATTACAGCAGCATAAAGATATTACATCAAGCAACTGGAAGGAAGCAGGATTTTTAAAAAAGAAAATAAACAAGCTTGTCCGGGGCATTGACAGATCTAGTTCTATGGAATTCAGAATTCAATAGCTTTCTGATCTGTAACAGGAAGGAGTTATATTTGCTGTTCTTTAATAGACTTTCTAGTTGAGAAACTGATTGTAAATAAATATAATGTTACTAATTTGTGTTGCATAACTTCTTTTTATAATAGGGAAGTGGATTCTTTTTTTCCTAAATGGCAAAGGAAAATATGTTTGCCATTTCTGCTGAACGCCAATAATTTTAATATGAGCCATACAGAAATTATCTACATAATTTGTGGCTGCTTTTTTTATTACTAGTCATAAAACCTATTTTAAATAGCTTTACAAATATTTTTCTTTTTCTTCCCCCCACCCCGCCCACCCTTAGGTTTTTGCCATAGGGCATGTGTGCTCGCCTGGGCGAGAGAGAGAGAGAGAGAGAGGAAAAGTGAGAAATTAGCCCTTGGTGAGGAGATGGCCACACTGCAATCCTTTCCCCTCCATTCTCCTCTTGGGATTTTGGGCACGTGTGTACTCACATCCAAAGTGATTTTCAAGCTCCCAAGTCTGGGACTTGAAATGCCGTTGACCATGTGGGAATCCAGAGCC